CAGCACTCCGCTACGTCCTCCTTTATGGCTGTGAGTCAGACATAGGCACTGAAAGTGGAAGACATGAAAAGGCTACCTAGCTGTCTTTGATCATAGGTGCCTGAGTTCTATCTCCCGTGTTAAGTGGTATAATAGGATGAGCAGTATTTAGGTCAGGCGTCGATTGCTAGGTAAGGATTCGAAATCAATAGACAAGGTTGTGAATTTACATCGATTGAGATGATTAGGAAATGTGTTACGCATGCCTGCCTAGCTATCGCCTTCCTCGACCGACGGGCAATGTTAGCTGACATAGGATGGATTAGGTTGGAAAAGAGCCACTGATGGGCACACCAAAACATGGCTTCATTAGTCAATGAAGTTCACAACAGTTAGTTTAAATCAGGCAGACACGTAGGGAGGTGTAGACTTCCTGACTGGTTGGGGTCTTCAGGAGGGTCAAAATCAATGGTTAGAGACAATTGCTGATACAGCTCAAAATCGTCTTCAATGATGACTGGTGCGGGTTCATTCACTCTTTATGATTGATAATATCCAATAACACTCTACTGTTCTTCAATATTACTATTCTTTTCGCCTCATATTTCTGTCTGTTATTTCTCTTTTGAATCTATTTACTTTCTTCTCTTACTTTGTGTGCTACATGAAGAGTGGCAACTCGAACTGGTGTACATCTGTACAAAGTTCTACCCTGAAACCAGTCAGTCAGTTCGTCAATAATAATGATGGTTATTAAAATTTCGTCTGGAAATATTCAAACCTATTTGATGTACATACACACTGAGAACTATGTTATCCAAATGAGTCTAAGAAACAGTAAAAACCCAGTCTTCCAGGATTTATGACGATTTGCACCTTTTGTTAAGCTGTTTATCTGCTACAAGTCTGGTTACAGAAATTCCATTTGGAATTGTAATGAAGTTATTCATTGAGTCAGTGGAGTTTTTTGGTGAAATATTCTACTCGGCTGCATTACCGTTTGAACTCAGTTACCTGGAACAGATTTTCTATGTACCAGTCAGTGTGTGTGAGCAACATTTACATTTTACAGTTTATGATACAACACTGTTTCCCAGGTTAAAGTGGGCGATGAAAAACAAGAGCGTAGAACCCAATGTCTTCATTTTCTTGTTAAGAGATTCCTTCAATACCTATCAAGTAATATAAACAACCATCCACTCCTGAAGTGATTCAGTGGGTGGTGACTAGCAGTGGAATCCAGAATGCGCATTTCATCCTTTTTGGGACTTGTCATCTGGATGCACCTTCATTCCCTAGCGAGTGATAGTGTTCCCAGTGAGACTTGAACCCAGTTCCTATCAGTTCAAACTCCAGACATCGTCCACTAAACCACTTGGACCACGAGAGCCACCTCTTGTGCAACGGGTCATATTGATTTAATTGAATTTTAGATTTTCCCGTCGACTGATTGGACCGAAGTGCTCGGTCTCAGGTTGACATGTTGCGGCCCAAGTGGTCTAGTGGATAACGCTTTGGCTTTTGAAACTATGAGCACTGCGTTCGAGCCTCGGTTGGAACATCATCACTCACTGAGAAATGCAGGTACATCCAGCTGACGAGTCCCAATTAGGATGAAATGAGCATCCTGGATTCCACTGCTAGTCACCATCCACTAATTAAAAACTATCCATTCTGTTCACCTATTTCATTTAAGTATCGTTTAAAAATACCATTTCTTTGAAAACAGTCATAGAATTACGCATCTAAAGTATAAATGATGAACGTTAACTGTGCTCTGAATACGTATACATATATATTCCTTTGAGGTTATTGACCAGTGAAATCCTTTAGATACATCACATCATTTTCATATGTAAATAAAGTCTGACCTGCTTTTTTTTGTTATCTCTTAATAAACAGTGGTGACTTCAGGTGACGCATTATTTGTTTAAAATTACGTCGTCAGTGTCCTTGTCACAGTGAAAAATAAAGAGAAATTATTTTTGCATAATTAAAGCTTTAGATGTGTTAATGTAGTAGTCTGTTGGCAAGACGACCTCTACTTGTCAACAGTTGCTAACACGGCATGTCTGCAATGTACACTGATTATTAGCTGGACGCTAATCAATCTAATTATTAAGTTCTATAGGTGTAAGTCAGAACCAATCGATAAACTGTAAGAACTAGTTCGAGGTAGGTGGTGATACACTGCTCTGCGCAATTTTTGAAATTTCGCTTCTGTGTGCTACATATCAGGAGGAGTTGGTCTGCGGGAAATTGTCCTCTCATCGAAATGAAAATCGAGTCAGTTTCTGTAAATTTGAACCTGTATCATTCATTAACAGAGCCGAGTTCTTTGCTACTTAGCTATTCAGGGTAATGTTTATATTGTAATGCACGATAGACAACCAATGAAGCTGATCAGATTCTGGTACTAATCTAAATCGTTTTAAACAATGTATGGTGACCAGTTTTTGGAGTCATATAACAAAATTGGTTAAAAAATAGAATTTTGGCATTGGGGTAGTGAATAACTCTATATAAAAAACACGGTGATATAGTATTATTTAATGATGATATTTTCAGCTTAATTTATTACTCATAATCATAATGATCATAAATAATACTGTATCATTGTGTATTTTATATCAAATAAAATTATTCTGTGATAAAGCAAAATTAATTATTGCCTAGAAATCGATTTGTATGTCTCAGGATTTTGTAGAGTAAATTAAGTCGGATGTATATATACATATAGGTGACAAAGCAGCCTGCTTGAATCAAATTTTTATTCCTCTACGTTCCCAGTGGAACATTGGGCTTCAAGATAGAGGTTTGAAGTTTCTGTAACAGTAGCGATTATTTTTACGGGATGGGGTTGCTAGCCTCATGCCCAACCTTCCCTCTTTACCAGTCCTATTACTGGCTTAGAGAGATAAATGAGTGCGTTGGTGGCCAGGGATTGGACCCCAAACCACCTGCGTAGTTGGCGAGCATTCTACCTCTGTGCCACCGACGGACACTTGACTCAGTGCGCTATAGAATTTGCTTCCCACCAAAATGCTAAATTTCATGCGGATTTATCAGTGTTTTAATCGTCCAGTTATATTAAATAAGCTATACATGAACTTGCGCGCCGATTTAACTTGCTTCCAAGGAAGCGCTGAGCAAATTTTTCAACGAAATGAAGATATCCTCCAGATTATTACTTTACATTTAAATCCTGTATGAAGGAAAAAGTATTCTCGAACTAAATACGCTGAAACTTTTCTTTCTGAAATGAAGATTTCTTTTCGTTACCATTCCTTTACTTTCTCAGTGGAACATAGGGCTTCGAGCTTTAAGCCTTAAATTTTCAACAGTGGCGGTATATTCTTACGGGGTGAAGTCGCTAGTCTGACCTCCAACCTTCCCTGTTTGTTTGGCATGCTACAAGTTAGGCTGGCCTGAGGAGTACGTCAGTCAGGAATCCAACGTGGATTACGTGCGTGTCTGGTAGGTATTCTACAAACCGGATATATACATACACACATACAAATTTGAAAAACTGCCTAGGAAGGTTTACCTTTCAATCACAATTTGATAGTCAGAAAAACCAAATATTGAATGTTTAAGCCATTTAATGTCATGTTGAGCAAAAAAATGATTCTAAAGTGGACATTTTAAGTGTCTAACAGCCGACAGATCTCAGTAATTTAATAAGTCGAAAGAAAAAGCACATAGATTCTTAAGATATGACACTTTTTCTAAAGAAAAATTGTTGTTCCACTATGAAATGTTCGTAATACTGTTAATTTTTTATTTTACAAATTTTAGTACTCAATAATTTTCTATTAATACACTTTGGAAATAGCAATTCGGTTCACTGTTAAAAAGGTGTGCGTCGGTGGCATAGCGGTTAGGACGCTCGTCGACCATGCACATAGTCCGGGGTTCGATCCCCGGCCGACGCACTCCTTTACCTCGCTAAACCAGAACTAAAAAGCTGGTGAAGAAGAAAGGTTGGGCATGAGGCTAGCAACCCCATCCAGTTAAAATAAACACTACTGCTACAGAAACTTCAAGCCACTAGCTTGAAGCCCTATGTTTCACTAAGGGACATGAAGGAAAAAAGAAAAAAGAGAATCACCGTTAAAGAAACTTATGTATACGGTTTGAATCACTGACATAAAGCCACCTTTGAAAAGGAATATCTTTTTCATTCAATTTCTAAATCTATGTATATTTTACTTCTAAAATATAAACGTGAACCGATTTTGTATATTCATAACTTACCTAAAGTTAAAGACTGTTAGACTCTTTGAGGTGGTGTTTCAGTTATGAAGACTAACAATAATGGTGTTAGATTGGGGATAAGAAGTTGGGTAATGATAGTATTCAAATTGGGATTATATTATACAACATGAAGAACAATTTACCATATATTAACCTGCTCAATTAGCTGAGCAGGAAGTGTCATAAGGAAAACATTGTAGCCTTTAACATGTTCTCATGAAAACTGGATTGCGCTCTTCGAGATCAAGGTACAAATATGACTTAATCAATAACTGGATGTCTAAAATCATTTAGTAGACAGAGAGCAGGACTGGGAAATTGTAGGCGGTTGCCTAGAATCTGAATAGGACTCAGGGTATTTTCCAACTTCAGTTATCATTCTATTGCCTATTTTAGACCTTATAAATAGCAGTGAAGTCTTGATTTAGTAGATACTTAAGTCAATGAAAGTCATTGTTTGTGTTGAAATACTAAGAGCATAGGTAACACTTATTTACTACAGTATCTGTGACCTTTTATGAACTGAATTAGTTGCTTTAATTTGCGACACGGTGAAATTTTCACCACAGTAAATGCCCATCTAAAAGTATCACATATTAATCACATTTATTTCAATTGCCATTAACCTTCTAAAATTGCATATACTCTAAACTATTATCGTATTAATTATCATTACTTAGTATACAAAATGTTTGACTTCCTAGGATTTATAAAACATTCCGAAGTAAAAAAAATAATAATTTTAATTGACCATGATAACTTACATAATTCCATCCTTTTTCTGAAGTACAACGTGACAGAATACAAATCAGGACGGGTAATAACAACACATTTCGCCAAAATCTGGTCCAATTTCCAAATGACCTTCACTTTATTCCATGCTGGCCAATAGTTTTCAAGTGACTCATAGCCAATCAAATAAACGGATAATTTGTACTGTTGATGATATTGAACACAAACTAAGCCTAATACAATACAATGAATTTCTCCTAATTCCAAATTATTATTGTGTAGGCAATTTATATAAGAATTAATGATTGTATAGCAGGTTTTTTTGGAAGGCAGTGAGTGGATTTTTCATCTAAACTGTAGATATAGGTTTAAATACACAGTTATTTAAATGTCTGTACGGCTCTATATAGCCAGTGAATGAAAATTAGGCGTTGGCTTACACACATCAATTAATCATCATACGTTAACAAAATAATTCGTTAATTTATATTGAATCGTTTTTATCTGCACTGAAATTACTTAGTGATAACAAAGCTGATTTAAGAAGTTCTACTCCTTGGTGTATGCGAATTAGCATCAATTTTACCTGCTATATAACCATAATTTGTGGATTAATCGTTAATCATTATATTGTTGAATTAGGAGCGAATGTTCCACTTTAGGGCATTTATTTTCATGTAGAACGGGTTCCTAGAATTTAGTATCAGGTTCTCAAGCCTTGTAATTTCCAGCTTGTGGATATTCAAATGACTAGCAATAAATGTTGCTAATGACTGGCTAACTGGTACAGTAGTTCCGTATTGCTGGGTTTGAACATTTACAGCCAGTTCTGAAATGATGCAGCATATCTGAAGTATTTTTCTCCTGATTATTTTTGTTTCACAGCAAATTAATATTAACTATTGGTTTTTTTTTAAGGTGAGGCAGTAACTCATCGAAGAAGACATTGGGAAGTGGTCGCGCTATGTCATGGGCAATTGGATCAAGTTCCAGTGGCTTAATGGACTACGAGCTCGCTGGCCTTGTGACCAGAAGGTCCTGGGTTTGAAGCTAGGCGGTGGGTGAGTACTGCTGAAGAGTCCCAAACTAGGATGACGAAACAGCTGTCCATTACTCCCAGATTTCCCAATGGTTCTCCAGCCGGTGTCAGCTCATAATAAAATATTTGAGTTAGTCATATGCTTTGAGATCAATTTTGTTTCATTGTAATTTTTACCATCGATACAGATCATTTGCAGGGACGATGATAGCCAGTTGAAATGGGATTATTTTGTTCATTTGAAGACTGACATTTCAGCGTTGATGATTTCATTTAGGTTAGTGTCAGGCTAGCTCAAAGTTTACCTATCAACAATGTTAATAGTCTTGGTACATACATATATATATATATATATATCAAAGATGTGAGCATCAGGTGCAGTGAAATTCTGACAGTAGACGAAAGAGTTGCCCGAGAAGTTTTATTTTTGATAGGTGTCACTCCACTGATAAATCTTGTCAAAGATAAACAAAGCAAATTTATATTATAAAACATCATTTTATTTCACAGATTCTTATTAGCTACTGACAGCCTAAAATCACTGAGAAGACAATATACTTTGAATATTTATATAATGACTCAAAATATATGAGAGGATAGAAAATCAAAAGTCTAGGGTGAGCAGTTCCTTATGAAATTATAAGCATTACCAAAGAGAATTTTCGTACGAATTGGCGACATTATGAAAAGTAAAGGAGATAATAGTATGATAAGTGTGGTTTTAGAGCTTACATTTTTCTAAGTTACTATTTTAGGCTCTTGCTCACTGCCACGTTCAGTGTTATTATACGAGGGTAATGAAAGAGGAATATGAGAACTAGGAAAATGAAGTACAATTATCTATTGATTTATTAATTCACTTTTTGTGTAACTGCTAAATGGTCACCAAATGCTAAACAGAAAAGAAGTTTTCTGATATGAAAGTTGATTTAAGACCATCTATCAAGTATTCAGTTTTGTCATCAAACTGAATGATGAACCATAGCTTTACGCAGTAAAGTGCAATTCAGTTCGTTGTAATACACTATGGGGAATCATTCGAAACCAAGTCCTTTAGCTAGCTAGATTTTATGCTGATTGCTACTCATCAGCAAGGGATATCCAGTCTGTAGGAAACTCACATTATATGAACTTGTATAAACACACGAAAATAATTTTCGTTGTAATCAAACTAATGTAGATAATATGAACCACTGATAGAACCTAATGTAGGGCTAAATAATTGTACTTGACACTAATTAACGGCATAACATTTGGTTGGAGGATTTCATAATGATCTGACATCATTTAGAGAATCATTGGAAAACTTGGGAGTATTGGACAGCTGTTTCATCCAACTTAGGGTCTCTTCATCCGCTAACCACTCAAACAGAATCCCTAGAAACCAATACCATGACCAGTACGGTACAGTAGGTCGTAGGTGAGAATAGTTACTCATCGAAGACATTGCTAAGTGGTCGTGCTACGTCGCCAATTGGCAGAAGTTAGAATTCATGGGCCACTGGATTCATTCCGAACTCGCCTTTTAACCAGAATGTCCTGGGTTCGAACTCCCTGTGGTGGGTGCGTACTACTGAAGAGTCTCAAACTAGGCTGACCAAAAAGCTGTCCACTACTCTCAGGTTTCCCAATGGTTCTCTAACCGGTGTCAGTTCACGATGAAATTCTCCGACCAATCAAACAAAATCCCTAGAAAACCAATACTTGAAAATTTCAACATTTATTTGAATGATTTTGATTCATAATTAAAATTGTTTTGCACTGAACAGATACCAATAAACTGTCATCTGTTTACCGTTTTAACGTTTACATCTCAACGAATAATCATGTGTGACATTTTTTTTCTACCTAGGAATAAGTGTAATTAAAACAAAACTGCTGGCTATTGGACTTTCAAAAGTTGACTATTGACCACTTGAAGTGGTTATTGATTTATTCAGTCCATTTCATTTTAACACGTATTTATTTCAATATATTTTTAAAATAGAGTTATTTAAACAAGATGATGTTACTTACCTACAGTGTTATTTTGATATTATTATTCGGTCTATAGTTCCAAAAAGTTGTTTATTTAAGTAATAAATTGTTTATCTGAACAAACATCTTCAGAAGGTGGTTTCGCTAATTTTTTTTTCATAATGTGCACAGATGAAGACGGTGGTTATAATTGGCTGTATGTGATGCATGTTTTACGCATTTTTGGATCAACAATACACCTTAACTATTCAATGGGTTTAGGCATTTACCAAGAGGCCCAGTCATAACAGTCGACTAAACGGTTTATTAAGTAAACTTCAGATAATAGAGAGGTGTGTCAATTTAATAGTTTAAACTAATTAGTGGTGAGATAATTTTTGAATGTTCATTTATATATGTATATATATATATATATATATAGAGAGAGAGAGAGAGAAGAACGTAAACTGTGCACTCTATAATCATAGATCGACATCTCAATAGTCTTTTGAATACACTGTGAGTCATACCAACAAGGATTGAAGGTTATTTATTAACTCAAAATGAAAAACTTTTCATACTGGAAATAGGAAGACCAAAAGATACTCCCAGTGTTCTGTATGGAAATAAACTATTATTAATATTAATTGTATTGTTCCTTTGGGTTCCGAAAGGAATATGGGGCTTCAGCAATACATCGCCATTGAAACCTGTTCCCTGAAGTCCTTTTTAGCTGCCTTCACGACTGTCTATAAACTGTCATCTCCTCCTCACATAATCTCTTCTATGCTACCCACCGATATAAAAATCACCTGTTCCTGTTTGGGTTCTTCTCGAGGGCTTGTATCAGAGGCCACATCGTTCGGTGGTCCCCTTAAAGTGTGTTGACTCCATTCCCCTTTCCTTCTGCGTATATGTTGGGTGACGTGTTCTTGGTTGATTTGCTTACAGAGTTCCTTGTCGCTAATTCTTTCTGGATGGTCATTTTACTTTCAGTGTCGAGGGAAGACAGCTGCCGATGGAAGTCTACAGTAGCCTGCTGGAAATGCTTTTGATGGGTCTCCAAGTCTTTGAACCATACAGAAGCATTGATAAATAAATAATTAATTATTATGCAATAAAAAACTATACAAATATTAAGTGATGATTTTAAAGACATGGTATCTAAGTAAGATAAGATGAAACCAATATGAAGCATCGTTTCAACTACAGGCTGATTGAACTGACAAGGATATCAAAGCAAAAATCGGAAAAGCAAGACAAGCTTTCACTACTCTCAAGTATGTGTGGAGGTCAACAGAACACTCAGCATCAAAAATAAGATCCGGATTTTCAACTCCAATGTGAAGTCAGTCAGTGCTACTCACTATACGGATCAGAGACTTGCACTGCGCGTCATAAAGAGCATCTCAAACAAACTACAGACCTTCATTAACAGCCAGTTGTCTTCGCTCAATACCACTCAAGATCAGATGACAGGCCAGAAAAGATCAGGAACAGAGATCTCTGGCAATGAGCGAACCAACACAGCAGGAACCGACTGTGAAACAAATAGGCAGGAAGAAATGGAGATGGATTGGCTGGCCATACTCTGAGGAAACAAGCCATCAAGTGACATCACTAGACAAGCCATTGCTCGAGTGGAACCCGGCCGAAAGGGAAGCGGCGAGTTGGTCGTCAGTGCAAGGGTGGTGTGACTTGGAGGAGGTCATGTGAAGAGGAGATGAAAGCGTGTGGGCAGACTTGGAGCCAGATGAAAACTCTAGTAGAGAACCGAACGCAATGGAGACGCACGGCTGAAACTCTATGTTCCTCTAGGAATTAAAGGAAACAATAATAATAATCAAATAAAAGAATTATTCAACCATAAGTTAAACATTTTTTAAAAACTGAACAGAACATCCACAATGGGAAATCGACAAGATGTTTTCTGTTGTATACAGTTGAGTATATTTTAATGGATAGTGAGAGATATTGTACGACATACGATGTAGGCTGAATTCACTACAACATTCTGGTTTCAGTGTAATGATAAAAAGTTACTGTACAACGTAGTAGAAGAATATGCTTCAGAAATCAATAATAATAATAGCATCTTTATTCTGGACAGTATTTATAAAATGTACAGAATTTTCAGAGGAGTTTGTTGCATGATATTTTCCCTTCA